CGCCGCCGGGCGCCAGCTGAGTTGCTGTCCCTGTGCGAGCAGCGTCACCCTCGGGATTAACAAGGAAAGAACAACCACCTCCGTCTCCCGAGGTCAGAGGAGCCGCCAGCCCCCGGGACGCCCAGAACAGCCTCCGTCTGCAGCGGATGCATTCGCACCCGGACTCACGGCAGCAGATTCCACGGTGCTGAGCGGCCCGGGACGCCGTTAGCACCGACAGGAAGGGCTTCGCCTCCCGGACAGGATTCTCAGACGCAATCCCAGCAGCTCCCGCACCCACCACCTCACCCAGCGCCAGGCTCGCGGGGCCTGGGGACACGGTCTCCCACCCATCGGGGCCCCTGTGCCGGGAGGAGGAGCGGCTCCCAGAGACCAGCAGGTGCGATCGCTTGGCCTGCCCCCTCCTGCACCCCCACCTCTCTCCCCCATCCCCCGTTCCCCGTGCTGAAGGTGAGGCCCAGCAGAGCCACCACCACGGGAAAGGCTCGCGTCCCACACACCCGGGCGGCGCTGCCCCGAGGGTGACCACTTATAAAGGGAACAGAACAGATCCGAGGAGGAAACTTACTGATTCCCGAACCACCGGGCCATGTTTGCACACATGCCAGCCGTCGGCCCGGCCGCAGCGGCTCCCTCGGCCCCTTGCAGTCCCCGGAGCGAAGAAAAGACGCGGTTCCCAGACCAGGAGCTGGAGGCAAGGAGCAGCGCAGAGGCCTGGGGCCCCGCCAGCTCGTGACTTATTCATGCAGGTGCCACCCGATGCAGGGCGCGCGCCGGGACGCCCACCGACGGCTGTGCTGTCACAGGTCCAGCACCGGGAATCGCACGTAGCCCCGGTTCCCTCGCTCAGAGTCGCCAACACCCTACACCAGCACGTGAGCGGGGAAGAGGAGAGGCTACCGGGAGGAAAGGCCGAGCGGGTCCGACGGAGGCTCCTTTTTCTGTGCAGCCAGCGCCCGGCACCGTGCAGACCGCCCGGCGTGCCCAGGCCTGGTGTCACCTCCTTCTGTGGAGGAGATTTTACTTTTCTCCCCCCGCCTCCCCCCAAGCCCCCATGCGGGCAGCACATTGTTCCCACAGCCCGTCTCCGCTCAGGGTGCTTGCCCGGCTGAGGGCCTATTCGGTTTCCACCACATTCCACCGTCCCGGCGTCACCGGGCGCTGCCCAACAGATAACTCGCAGGCGGACACGCCTTCCAGCCTGACACGCAGTGCCCAGGGTCCCAGCCAGGGCAGGG